TTCATCGTAAATATTAATGGTTAAGGCATACTATATTGCATTGATGTGTAAAGAAGATTGTGTTGGTAGCCCATGTCAGTTCTTCTAATATTTGTTGTTCTAATCAGTAAAATGAGAGACGTTGGTAACTAAGTCGTGGATTTCTTTAAGAAATATTTGTGTGCCCTATTAGGTACAATCTTATATTTAATACAGTCAAGACTGAGAACTGATCAACCATCTGTCAAATGGTAATATTTATAAGTCAAGAATTAACTACAACGAAAGTGTACAGTCGATCAGCTTAAATATGTGCGATTTGATGATCAGGACTTGTTTTGTTTTCTAAAAAGTTTATGTGTATTATTAAAATGGAAATCAAATAATGTAATGGGCTACCGTTATTTTGCTCACCATCTGGTAAAATCTAGCAGAAGGTCTGTTTGTCTAATCACTGCTCTCAAATATTCAATGTCCAATTGTGTGACACTAGATAATTCCCTATTGGACGAAGTGCGAGAGGCTCACACTAGCGGCACCTGGTGAAAAAAAACACAGTAGCTTACCGGTGGCCCAATTACCCCCTTCTCAATTCCTAATCCCCAAAAGACCAGTAACGCACTTGTAACACATCTGTTGTTCCGGATGTCCATGGGCGACGCTGATTGCTTACCATCAGGTGATCCGTCTGCTCATTTACCGGCTTATTCCATAAAAGAAGTAGCCACCATTTTGACTTAGCTAAGGATTTTCTATTCATATCAACACTTACAGCTCAGATTAAACAGGCTTTTTTCAGAATTTTTCTATTAAGTATTATGTTATTAGAAACCATATGAAATATTTGGTTGCTTTATCATACTTGACAGGTTATCATTTAGCCACTACCTTGCCTGGTAGTAAGCAATGATGTGGCCGACGATGGAGCACGCCTACCTATGAGCAACCTGTTCACTCGGGACTTGAAGACACCCAATTTATATTTGTCGAGATACAAACTACACAAACATTTATTTGATGTTCATTCCTAAATAAATAATTAAAGACTTTAGAAATGATTGTCAAAGCAAAATGGCCGTCAAATTACAATCACAGTGAAATTTCGCAGTGGAAGGGTTTAATTTGCGTCAGAAGCATAAAGTAAAGGCGAGTGATTGGACAGAAACGACTGTGGTCAACTGTAACCGGTGCCAGCTCAAACGTATTCAGATTAGTTGAGGGTTAAAAGGAATGGTTAGCCAGTATTTATAAGGTATTCTTTATTTGTTACTTTATTTGAATTGGAATAAAAAATCGACGCAATTGATGACGTTTAGTTAGAATAAAGGGAAGGTTTGTAAATAATATGATGATATTTGGCTACGGCTACTATGAGGGTGAGCCTATTGCCATATACCGGGCACATTTCCAGAGTCCATGCTACTACTGAGATTTTTGAAACCCAATAACACTTTGCCGACCCGGGAATCGAACCCGAGATCGCACTTGCGACCACTCGGCCAACGAGGTAGTTAAAAAAGTAAAAGTCAAAATAAAAGTAAAATTCTAGTTTATCTTCAAATTTTAATATAAAAGTATATAGTCCTTGGCCTTTGTAGTATCAAGCGCAGTATCAGTGTGTACATTGGCTAAAATAGCGGGAATTTAAAATTCGATTTCCATGCAGATGCGGGCTCAGAGGAAAAACAAAACGCACGGCGAGCGCTAACTTTACGTTTAATTGTAAAAAAGAAAAACTTATAGGGATTTTGCGGTAAAAAAACTGTTATACATATATTATTTTTTGGAAATATTTCTTTACGGCTGTTGTTCTTTAAAAGAGGTAGGCAGAAATGTATATGCCTACGTTAGCGGGTTAATTCACAAACCAGGCTTTGCTTTTAGGTCAGGGTATATTGGGTATGGTATCGAATATAAAAATGCTATAAAAATAAAAGATAAAAAAAATAATAACACATAGGGGAGAGTCCCGTAACGCCGGACGGCACCTAACGCCGTACACCCGTATTATCTCGATAACTGATAACACAAGCGATTCAATTTTTACTAAAAATCTTAGGTGTCTGCCACTGGGAGACTTGACCCTAAAAATTGAATCACTCGCGTTATTATTTATAGAGATAATACAAGTGTACGGCGTTAGGTACCGTCCGGCGTTACGGGACTTCCCCCTAACGTATGTGGCATTTTAAATAAATGTAATATAAAAAATCATAATTATGTTGTTAATTTCTACGAGCGGTTTCGCCCGTTGACCATAATCTATGCCTAATCCAAATTTTATACCAATCTCTTCAGCCGTTTCGACGTGAAAGAGCAAGAAATTAACAAACATATAAACATTTACATTTTATAATATATTAGTAGGATTACACAACAACTGTCGATATTTCATAGTAATATCCGTTCCTTTCGTTCAATCATTCATTCATCGTTCGTCGTTCATTTTGAAAGTATATTTATATTTATGAACCCTGATGTAATAGGGATATTCATTTCTGTTACACATATTTTAACTTTTTTCCACAAAAGTGTACTAGATACTAAAAAGACTTGTTAATCGAGATAATTATTGGAAAACTCATGTCACAGGAAAAAACTGAATATAAACAATATTTTGTTCGGCTTAGTAATCGAACTCGAGACTCTCCGATATGACATCATTCAATTGAGACCATTTTAAAGAAACACATTTACATTACGTTCTTAAGTATAGTTCCCAGCTCATCAAGCTACTTGATTATCATTACATTTTATTTTCGACTTTATCAGCTAAGCATAGAGTTGAAAATATGAACTGAGCTAGTTTGTCGCCGTGCTGTCTGGACCGGCGCTCTATCCCAACACGTTTGGCACTTACCACGCATTGATACCTAACTCTATATAGCACAATACTATTTTTTCATCTCAAAAACCATTAAATTTAATATAGTTTGCCAAGACTTGCAAGAAAATTTTCAATAGTTTTTTTACAGTGAGTGATTTTTATGATATGGTTTTTTACATACTGTTTTGGTTTTCATTGGCAATAGTATCTTGCGGGCATTTATGGATATCGGTACCTATGTAAATGTTAACATATATATCATTTTCTCAATCTTTTCTGTTCTGAAGATGTCTTGTTCTGCCTCAATGGCTCCTTGGCCGAGTGATCGCCAGTACTGCCGGGCAAGGGGTCTTGGGTTCAATTCCCGGGTCGGGCAAAATATTACTGTTTTTTTTTAAAAATCTCAGTTGTAGCACGAAGTCTGGAAATGTGCCCGGTATGGGACTCATAACCTAAATAGTGAAAAGTGGGTGTTACATTGTATACTGGCATTAAGCGCTGCTCCTCTGCCTACCCCTTCAGGGATAAAAGGCGTGATGTTATGTTATGTCTTGTTAGCTCAGTTAAGCTATTTATCAGACATAAAATTATGAAATATTAAATGCAATTTCTATTTTTTATGGGATAGGGAGCAAACAGGCAGACGTATCAACTGATAGTAAAGTCGTTGCTCCGCCTATTCCGACATCAACATCTCTACAAATGCGTGTCAGGTCTAAATTATTCTTAGTTTTATCAAATAATTCACATTTTAAATATACACAACACTAAAAGACAAACAAAGTTAGGGTTGTCTCAATCATATAAAGTCCCACAATGGTCTTCCATGTCACGTCGCTAAGCCAGCGCCACTCGAGTCACGACAACCCTCGTGCCGAGTGCCCTCGCGTCTAGCACTCAATACTTTCGAACTAACACGCTGTTTGTTGACCATACCGACTCTTTATCATAGAACCACTATTGTGACTGTTATAACTTATTAGGTGAACAATGTTTTTGTAGCTAGGAGTCGCAAAATATTTAAATCTCGTGCAATTTGGCACATCATCAATCATCATCAACAGTCTATAAATGCCCACTGCTGAGCAAAGCCTCTTCTCACACGGAGAAGGTTTGAGCATTAATCACCACGCTTGCTTAATGCGGGTTGGCGATTCCAAACTTAGAATTAGAAATTATAAGTCCAGGTTTCCTCACGATGTTTGCATTCACCGTTTGTCAGTGGTGTCTAGATAATCTTAGAAAGTACATATAACTCGGAAATAGTCACATTGGTACTTGCCGTTGGTAGGTTTGAACCCGCAACCTCATACACGAGAAGCGGGCATGTTAACCTTCGGGCCACGAAGCTTACCATTAAGTGATACTTCTGCTCGTTTACCGGTTATACCATAAAAAAATGGGTCCGCCGTTTTTACAACGTCCTTGTTAAAACCAGCCCATCATCTTTTCTTTATCTTTATATATGTAATTCTTCTGTGAGTGTGTAAGTCACTGAACTTCTCTCAAACGACTGGACCGATTTTGATGAAATTTTTGTGTGTGTTCAAGGGGATCTGGGAATGGTTCAGATTCACAAATCAGCCCGGCAGATGACGCTGCAGTCGATTTCTAGGTTATTTATCTATACCCATCATTACAGGACAACGTCTGCCGGGTCCACTAGTGTATCTATAAAACACAAATTCACTTCAGCATTCCATTGAACTCCTGTGTCTTTGTTTCCAGGCAATCGGAGTAGCGCTACTAGTAGGAGAGCGGGTTGGCGATTTCAAACTTATAATTAGAAATTATAAGTCCAGGTTTCCTCACGATGTTTTCCTTCACCGTTTGTCAGTGGTGTCTAGATAATCTTAGAATGTACATATAACTCGGATAAAGTCACATTGGTACTTGCCGTTGGTAGGTTTCGAACCTGTGCAGGTTCGAAATGCGTGAGAAGCGGGCGCCTTAAACCTCCGGGCCACCACGACACTTTGGCACATGGTATGTAATTTAGGGAGATATAGAGTTTGTTGAGATGGACATCTAGCTGTATAAATTAATGTTTAGCATTTTTTCATTGAACGTTTTAGTCCCTTGTCTTTCCATTTTATCTGAAGTGACGTAAGATCTAAAATTCTTTATTTTATGACTGTGTGCAAAGAGGAATCGTCGATGATAAGAAGTAATATCAATAAGTGTAAACACTCACGTGCATAAGAGAAGGGTAGTCCATCCGACCATCGGAACTCGCCTTCATGGACGGCATCAGTCGCTCCGATCCAGTACACGTCGTCTACTCCAGCACCGGGACTGCGGATAATATATCAACACTGAGTATATGGTTCTAATAATAAAAAAACTAGCGAGAGACATTTACTCACTGGCGACATAATACTCACGCATGTATAAGTAGTTGGTCCATTATTTGCTGTTGTCTCTCATTCAGCACACTGGCGAGGTGTCCTCCCAGCCTCACACACTCCGCCTCCGCTTGTCTCCATGCCTTCTTTGCCTCTCGCACCGCTGATATGCAGAAATCCCCAGACAGCACCCACCCATAGTCACAATGCCCCACGATGTTCTCTATGGCTTTGTCCATCCACCACACTTTCAACCACATAGCTGACGTATTTTTCTTAGTAGTTATACTAATATTCAAACGCACGGAATTTCCTTCAGACACAATCTGAACACTTCTCAAAGGGTCACCAGGCTGGGAACAATGCTTCCACTTAGAATCTCCGTCTTCTAAACTTAATTCCATCCCTCTACACAACGCTTGCACGTCTTCATGTATTATATTGGACACGTCGTTTTCTTTCGCATCCATTGGTCCTGTGCCCATTTGTAGCCGCAGAGCGACACGGTTGCCGTATGGCAGGTGGATCTCATACGAACATGACAGTTTGATTGTCGGGCCGACTTCGAACGAGCCGTTTCTTCCCGTAAGTAGAACATCATGGCAATGGTCTACTAGACGGTATACCGCGGCGAACGTGGGCCGGCCGTGTAGTTCTATGGCGGGGTTCTTAAATGATGAGGTGTAGAGGAACTTTCTGTTGGGAAGCGGTATTTGGTCCAGTTTGCCGCACAGGGTGGGAGTGTTAGGAGCGAAGCGGATGAACCCAGTGGAGCAGGGCACATTGAGCTTATGGAGCTCGATGAGGACGGCACTGCGCGGGCCCGGCGCCGGCACCAGCACGCGGCAGCCGTGCGTGCGCGGCACGTGACCCGAGTGCACGCGACCCGCGCGTACATTTCTTAGGCGTATCGCACAATCTGGAACAAGAGAGAATAACATTAATAACAGTGACTTACTTTCCAATTCCAAACATTTAAACAATTCAACTAAAGTTTTGTCTTCCGACAATAGTATTTGAGTCTGTGCCTGAGTCGTTCAACTGTCGAATATATTCCGATCGGACCAATTCACGAGATGTTACAAACCTATAAATAAAATGGAAATGATAATGGAAGTGATTTCTATTTGAAAACGATCAATACTATTCCTACTTCAATGGAAAATGGACTGAAAATTATTCAGTTGATTTAAATTCAAACGATTTTAGACGATCTTGATAGCGGACGATATTATTGCAGGAAACTGAATATTATCGGTTACTTCATCCGTTCCAGTTTTAAATTTAAATATCTGATAAGTTAGTGGTGCTATCTTTCTATGGTTTTTTTTAATGGAATTCACAATTTTATTTTTTTATATGGTTAATGATTCTCGAAACGAAAGTGTTTTATAATTATGGTACTAGCAAACAAGTAAAGGATTTTTTAGATAACTCTGTAGTTTATTAACTAAAAATCGCGGGTGACTCACGTGAATATACTAAGAAAAACTTAACAAGATGCATTGTGAATAATGTTGCAATACTACCTATATTTTTTTAGCGGTTGAACTGGCCAACACAATTCGCTGTGTTTAGACACGTTGTAGCAAGAGATTACACAAACAAGATGCCTTTATGTCCTGTTTCAGGCTAAAGTTCGACATAGTTGGGGACAACAATGTCCTTTGCGAGTCACCACATAACTTTGTACCCAGAGGTAATGCCTTGTGTCACGTGGAGTACAATGTTCATAACAAGAATGATGACTAATTTTATTTTATGTCCACTTGTTAGGATATTTTTTATAGAATAGACCAGCAAACGAGAGAACGGATCACCTACATAACATAACATCACGCCTTTTATCCCTGAAGGGGTAGGCAGGGGTGCACACAGAAGTAATACCCACTTTTCACTATTTATGTTATGAGTCCCATGTAATAGGGGATGAGCCTATTGCCATATACCGGGCACAATTCCAGACTCCGTGCTACTACTGAGGACTTTTTAAAAACCCAGTAATACTTTGCCCGTGTAACGATTTCTTCACTTCAGGTTCGAAACAAACTTCAAAATAATACTAAAATAAATAAGTACTTAATTCCTAAAGTTAACGCTAGTTACTATTTACATCATTGTACAAATTAAAAATATTAATATGAACTAAAACCAATTAAATATTAATTCATAAGCAAACTCGGGAGGCACAGTATGTTTAGCAGTTCACGACGCGATCGCGTGGAGGGATCGATAGGCAGCGCGCGCGGTAGAATTTTAACTGTGGCAGAGCTAACTGGACGACACTGAGGTCGGACGTGCCGCGTTACTTAAATATTATTTTCTTCTACCTACGTTTACTAGAGGTATATTGAGTCAAGATTATTCAATATAGAATTACTTCATAGTATTATCCATCGAAACATATATCTAGTACTTGCGCGGCTGTTGAAGTTTATAAAAATTGATTGTATCGTTTTCACCCCGAATCGGGTAAGTGTTGCAAAATTATATCTATTGAGTAAGGCTATCTCAGTACAATTGTAAATCTTATAAATATGCGTTGGGCTCATTTTCTCATTAAACTACCTTGCTATAAATTAGTGTTTGTTCAATTAGTAGCTTGTAGTGTCATATATTTTTATACTGGCTATCTTTCTGCTGCTTTTATGTACATTGACTGCCTCATCATTGATCACTATTTTATGTAATCCTTACCACCTGTGCCTCGTAGTATCACGCCGCTTTTGTAGGATGCACATAGGGGTGTGGCAGTCATGTAATATTGAGGATAGTGTTAAAGTGGAAGGTTTACACTATTCCAGGGTTCACCGCTCCGGTGCCGGACTTCGCTGATATTATTTGGACTACCCTACAACAACTTACCATCTACGCTACGACGACCACCGGACTACCCTAGTGGCCGACAAAGCATTCGCCGATCTATCAGGGCAGTGGTATTGATTGATGGACTTTTCACGTGTTGGTCTTAGTGAATATTAAAGAACCCACTTGATCGTATATCTTTATATTTTATTATACCTTCTAATCACTATAGCAGCTGTTTTATTTACCTGACGAGGAAAAGTTGTTACACTGGCGCCCAATAATAGGATATTCCTAAGACCAAACTGCGTGATTAGTGCTTAAACATTTAATGGTTTTCATTGGTGTTGGCTCTTAACCTCATAGTTCTAAGGTTGATTTTACATTGTAACTATAAAGTGTGTGGTCGTACAGTTACTTATGATTACTATCTAAACATATCTCTTACATTTCATTAAATTATATACATGTTTTTTTTTTATTAAAATAAATTAGTAACTGCAACTACCACTCATAATCTAACCTAACGTTGGAAATTCTTGTGTAGTATTAAATACACCATATTGTGGTATCACTGTTGTAACTAGTAGGTACTTTGTATTTTTGTTTTTCCGATCACCCTAATTTTTTCTCGTTATCATTGTAACACGCATAATATTGTAGTGCTTAGAGCTAATTTTGCAACACATATCCGACAAAAATATGTCGTATCCTATTAAATTTCTCTCTTTACAAAAAACGGAATTACAGTACGAGGTAGAACTTCGTGGTGGAGTAGGCGAGTCAGTCCAAGAGCTAAGAAAACAAATCGTTAAATTATCGCAACTTCTTCCATCCGATGATATTCTTGAGTCACACTTGGATCCTGTAGATGATTTAAAGGAAGTCAAGGAGTCTCTGTTAAAGTCACAAAGTAATTTAACAAATCTTAAAAGCAGAATGGATAAAAATCTATTAAGTAGGACTGAAACATTGCTATATCATATTTACCACCGTATTAATAGAATAGAAATTATCGAAGAGGTACGCGATTTACACAAAGTCTGCACTTCCAGTTTAAATTCACAATTAAAGGATTTGTCTACATTGAAACCGTCTGGTTCTAATCCTAGACCTTTAACATCTATCACAGATGCCACACTCGATCCTTCCACCGTATCAGTTGCATGTGAACGTAGCTTATTTGCCGAGATAACCAAACTAAAATATTCTGGAAAAACTTGTGTTCACTCCTTCATCCAAAAAGTTGAGGAATTTGTACAAGCTAGAAGCATCTCTTTCGAAAAAATACTTTCACTTGCGTATGAAATATTCACCGATGATGCACTACATTGGTTCCGCTATAATAAAAATAGAATTAATTCTTGGCATGAGTTATGTGTGCTGCTAAAGGAGGATTTCAGCAGCAGCGACTATGATTACAGACTAATGTCAGAAATTCGGTCGCGTACGCAAGGCGATCAAGAAAATATCACTATTTATTTAGCAATTATGCACGGAATGTTCTCACGTCTTTCGAAACCTTTATCTGAAAATGATAAATTAGATATATTGATGCACAACATTCGGCCCTGTTATGCAAACACTTTGGCTGCATCTCCTTGCATCAAATCTATTGATGACCTCAAATCAGTTTGTCGTAATTATGAAACTATAAAAACAAGATTTTCTCAATTTCACGAACCACCTAAACTAACTAGTAATACTCTTGCACCCGAGTTTGCTTATAAATCTGATCTTAATTATACTAAAATTAATCAACAAACAAAATATAACAATTACAATAAATCATACAATCAAAAAAATAATTACATTTACACACCTAAACATAATCCCAATTACAAAGAAACACTCAATTCTGATAATGCTAATCTGGGTAAGGATAATGGTATTGCTGCTCTATCTACTGAAGTACCTAGGACCGTATTTTGTCCCAGATGTAGATCTAACAGTCACTCTCTAGGAGTCTGTAGGCAGAGACGCTTCCCTATTTGCTTCCGCTGCGGTAGGAAGGACGTGCGTTTTCCAGATTGTCCTGACTGCAATGGTGTTCATTCGAAGGACGAGCCCTCAAAAAACTAAGTAAGCCTGATTGGAGTGACCGCGATAAGGAATGGAGGGATTGGTTAACATTTATTAAGAAATTTTCCACCTTTTACTTTGTCGCTTCAGTCAAGGATAAATCGGATAAATCTAATATTGACAGAACTCGACCCTATGTTACCATTAGAGTTTTACATCAGTCTTTGACTGGTCTCTTGGATACTGGTTCATGTGCTACTATTTTAGGCAATGGATCACATAAACTTATTTTGAATATGGGAAATTCCCATATTAATATGCTGAAGGATGATATTCCTACGCAGTTCGCTACTGCAGGTGGGGAGAAACTTAATTCTATCGGAATTATTCGTCTTCCAGTCCATTTTTTAAACCAAACACACTACATTAATGCCCATGTAGTCCCTGAAATTAAAAACTCTTTGATTTTAGGCATGGATTTTTGGCACACGTTTGGACTATTCCCTAAACATTTAGATGTCATATCATTTCATAAGGACTCTGAATTAGGTTTTCCAACTGGTTGTGTTAAGAAATTAAACGCTGTATGTCCGTACGAACATTTGACAGATGTTCAAAAATGTGCTGCTGATAATTTAATTACTCAATTTCACGATATTTCCTATGAGAAACGTGGATTAGGTCGCACGTCTCTAATCACACATTCAATTGATACTGGGGATGCTGCCCCCATACGTCAACGTTACTACCGTATGTCTCCAGAAAAACAAAAGATCTTAGTTAATCAACTCGATGAGATGCTAAAAGATGATGTTGTGGAGCCATGCGAGAGTCCGTGGTCCTCTCCAGTTTTACTGACACCCAAAAAGAACGGAGAACTCAGATTCTGCCTCGATAGTCGAAAGCTCAATGCTGTAACGAGAAAAGACGCGTATAGTTTACCTTACATCACTGAAATTCTCGACAATTTACGGGATGCTAAATATCTCAGTAGCATTGACCTTTCCAAAAGTTTTTGGCAGATTTTAATTCAAGAAAAGGATAGATGTAAAACTGCTTTCTATATTCCATCACGCGGCACATTTCAATTTA